ATATATATATATATATATATATATATATATATTTTTTTTTTTTTTTTTTTGGATTGTCCACACAACAAACTAATAATAATCCCAATTACCCTAGCTTGCCGAATCAACATGGTTAAGCCTTTATTAAATGGTTAAGCCTTAATTAAATTCAACATATATGGATTGAGTAACAATTAATCAAATTAGCTTATTTAAAATTAGTCAATTAAATTGAGTAACCACAAAAAGTACATAAAGAAATTAGCAAATTTTAAACAAAAATATTAATTAAATTGAACAGAAAAACTGACACGATGTTAATGAAAACTACTCAATGCTTTTATTTAGATTTAACATGAAATGTGTGGAGCCTGTGGTCATCAGCTCTAGAAAATATTGCTTTATATCTACACAATTAAATTAAGGCAACAGATTACAAGCAATAATGTTAATTAAACTCAACAAGTATGGATTGAGAAAAATGTAATTAAATTTCCTGTTCAGCAGTGTGGAGCCACAATGCAGATTAACAATAATCTCACAATAGACAATGCATCATACAAAACACAATAAAACATGTACATTTAAACAATTTGATCATCTTAACAAGGACTTTAATAATCTTTTTTTAAACAGCAGTTTCAAACAACTGGACATTAAACAATATCTTTTAAAACAAAACACTTAGAGTGAAACTTATCTGATTTAATGCATGAAAGGTATTATTTGCCAGAATAATGCAGATTCATTGAAGCAAAGAGGACACCACAGTTCATGGGAATACTACCCTCTAATATCTTCCAGTGTTAACCAGACAGTCACTTGTAAAAACATTTTTCTTTGTCACAGTTAAAATGCATAGGTCAAACCCAGGTGGACACAAGCTCTGGGATTGTATTTATTCCTTTAAACAGCAGTTTCTTTAGTTATCCCATATAGGGCCAGACGGAATCTGTGAAAATGTTTTTTGCCATTATGTGGGGAATTTAGGTAAAAATCTGCGAATTTCTTTCCGGAGCTCCTTCACGGGACTTCACGCTTGTAAACAATCGCTCCATCAGGCTCGCACCATTCGTGCAGCTCTCAGTCCCGCCCAGACTCGTCAGCGCTACCAAGCCGACCAATCACAGGGCTTGCGCTACGCGTCGTTGCTACGTGTAGTTACATTTTTTGAGAGGTGCACGTCAGCGACGCCGACGGCCACGGCGAAGGGCTATGCGTCAGCGCTGCAGCATACGCATGCATTTGACGCAGAAGTATAAATCAGCCTTAAGCGTGGCGCACAACTAACGCGCTTTGCACTGGACAATAGACCGACTTTGTTCTGGTCTATTGAAAAATCTATTATAGTTTCTCAAAATAGCAACGCGCCAGCAATACACCTCAACACTCCTCCCTTTTTAGACCAGAACGCCTATAGGCGCACATATGAGCGCAAATGCATTTGCTATTTAAACAGCGTAGCGAAAAACGTCAAAACGACTCTTGCGCCGAGCTGAAACTAGCAAACAACCATTGCGTCACGCCTTGCGCCACATTGCGCCGGTTGTATAATAGGGCCCTAAAATATATATCATCTAAAATGTTACTTTGAAATACAACCGAAAATCAGAAAAAGTTGATACAGTATGGAAAACGCAAATAAAAGAAGAAAGAAGTGATTTTTAAATTTACTTTGACTTGTATTTCATTGCAGCCTTGGGGCCCTCTGGTAAACCTATTTAGAAAACATCTAGTTTAGGCTACTAGAAAACAATAATGTGTGTTTGGCACTACAAACATTTAAAACAAAATCCACCCCTGCTGAAAAATCCAGCTTAAACCAGCCTAGGCTGGTTTAAGCTGGATTTTTCAGCAGGGACAGGATGGCTAATAAGTATGTCTTTAATTGTATGGTGTAGTTTTACCCTGGTGAACTTCAGGAAGAGTAAATAGGATGCATTACAGTCGGCCTGATCCTGCATGACCGGTGTTTTGGCACAGGTGGTGTTTCACAGGCCGCGGACAGTCACTCATGCATGTCAGTCAACTCATCACGCGCCATGCTTTGGCCAGCGACACGTGGCACATGCATTCCTAGCATGACACGGCGATAGCCAAACGAGCACAGCCAGACAAAACACACTTTAACCCGGCACGTCCATCAATCTTAAACCCCTGCGTTTAGCAGTGCAGCTCACTCCCTTTCCAGTTCCCTCGGGCTGAGCAGCTAAAATGAGGAAGTGTCATAATATTTACAGAAGCAGGACGTATGTGTTTTGCGAGCATGGTCGCTCATAGAGCTGCAGCTATTTGCGATATTCGACAGCAGATTATGTGTAATGTTATGCTAATGCCAGAGCTCCAGAAATATCAGTTGGTTGTTGCACATGTGAGACGGCTGAAGCTGTGAGTTATGCCGCATTGTTTGTATTGCGAGCTCCTCTCACCAGGTGGAGGGGAATTGCGCATCTCGTCCTATTCCCGCCTCGTGGGACCTCACTAGTCTGCAAATCCCCACGACGCCTGTCTGTAATGCTACTCGAGCCTGCGGCGATGTCCAACAGCCTCCAGTAAATTAGCCAGGATCCCTGTGGCAGAGAGAGCCACGGCTTCATTGAGGCCTTGTTTGAGAGAGTGGCGATTTTGCTAACCGTTCAGCAGTATTTTTGCACTTTGATAGACTGTAAATATGGCTGTGATTCAGAACTAAATACTGCAAAAATGCTAGAGTAAACAAACTGTAAATAAATAACGGTATATTGACATATGATAACTGTAAGCTGACTTTCTGATAACAGTTTTCTGGCTTTGTACAGTATATATTGCATATAAATATCTCCTGGATGTGTAATTGTCCACCATCACATTATCTCATAGAAATGCTCTGTTTGTTTTTTCTCTGTAGTGTTGTTGAGTTTGCTGTCGGCCGGGGCTGAGACTGAGATGAAGCGGGTTGTTGGGGACAACGGCACGTTGCCATGCCATCATCAGTTCTGGCAGTCCAATGGGCAATCGCTGGACATCGAATGGCTCCTGCAGAAACCCAATGTCAAACAGCGAGTGGTGAGAGATCTTCTATGCTTCACCTTGTTTTTAAAATTTGTAACATGGAATTAAACCAGATTTCAGTAACAATACAAACATAAAAATACAACAACAACAAAAAACTCAAAACATTATGTGTTTAAACAATGAAATGACACAAGGAGAAATTACTGAACTACTGAAATGTATTTATTTCCCAGGGATGGGTTGCTGCTGGAAGGGCATCCGCTGCATAAAAACTTACTGGATAAGTTGGCGGTTCATTCCGCTGTTGTGACCCCGGATAATTAAAGGGACTAAGCTGATGAGAAAATGAACGAATGAAACATATTTAATACTTTATATAAAAGGCCTTTTTTGGTGATGGCAGCTTAAAGATGTCTCTTATATGGAGAATGAAGTCACGAGCATTGCTCAGGTGTGAGTTTTACACAGATTTCAACAGAATGTCAAAATCTATGGGTCTCGTCTATGAAATCTGAGCTTAAATTCGTATTTTCTATTGGATTCGAGTGAGGTGATTGGCTGGCTCATATTCATTTACACTGAGTAAGGCCAGAGGGTTGCTGAAGTAATAATAATAATACTAATATTACTACTACTAAAAATAATAATAATAATAATAATAATAATTATTATTATTATTATTATTATTAAATAATATATATAATTTAAATAATAAATAATATATATATAATAATAACATTAATTTTCTTGTTGGCTTATTCTTTTTAATAATCCGGGGTCGCCACA